TAGGGGACCCAGGCCTCAACTTAAATCCTCGGATTTGTTTAGAATAATAATAATAATAAAAAAGAAAAGACGCACGTCATCGTAAACAAATGACATAACATTTACGCACACTGGCAAATATATGTGTGTCTCACACTTTAAACTGCACGTGCGTTTGGTAATAACCCCGTCATAAATAATATTCAACTTTAAATTCACACACAGAGCTGATGCGTCACGCGTTGTCGGCAATTTGAACCCTTTTTTTTAAACCCTCCAAACCATTTCCCGTCCACGAGCCTGCCTCTTCTTTGCAAGCTCCAACTCACGGAACATAAACAACAATACCGCACAACAACAACAAGAAAACACAAAAAAATCCCTTCTCCTGTCGTGATCCTTTCGCCTTCCCCCCCGAAAAAAACCTTCCTCTAAAAAAAGTAGGCGGTAATTATTAGTGGAAAATGGCGTTGCGCTATTAAGTCGCCAGAGCGGCTACCTGCCATTGGAGGGGCACCTGGGATTGATGAGGCGCGGGGACCAATGAGGCTGCGAGGAATGAATGAACGGGCTCCAGTTAAAGGGGGCGGTAGAGGAGGTAGAGCCAGTCCACGGAGAAACAGGGACCCTCCGCGATAAACACTGGCGAGCCAGAGAAATAAACCCACGCCCGACTGGAACGGCGCTTTTTCTGAGATGCTCCAGCCACTCTCGTTCTGCGCGCGCCCAGGGCACCTCTAGATAATCGTTTCATTCTTTTTTGAGCGTATTGTTTTTTTTTTGTATGCTTTTTCTGCTGTCACAGTCAAAAGGAGAGAGGACACGAGGAAACTCTTCCCAATCATCTCTTATTGGATTTTTCGTTTTTTTTTTGTTGTTGCCACAAGTAAACTACAAGTAAATTCAGTGTTTGTTAAAGCTTGACGATTTGCCTTTTTCCCCCTTTTCCCTTTTTTTCTCCCCCCCCAATCCACGGACCGGAGCAGCGGTCTGAATCCTGATATGGTGTTTTCAAATCTGGAAGTTGACTCGCTGCGTACCAGCACCAACATTTGATTTGTTTTTTATTTTTGTGTGTTTTTTTTCCCCTCTTGAACTGATTTACTGTATAGCTGCGAGTCCCCCTTGAGTTTGTTTTCCGAACAAGCATCAGCAAAAAAACAAAAGTCGCCTCTGAAATTATGTTACTGGATGCCGGTCACCAGTTCCCCGGACTGGGAGTGGGTTCGTTCGCCAGGCATCACTCGGCGAGCGAGATGCAGGAGCGGGACTTGAGTTTGGCCCAGAACAGCTTCGTGGACTCCGCGCACATGGGCGCGTTTAAGCTCAACCACGACCTCTCCCCGGGCCAGAGCTCTGCCTTCAGCAGCCAGGCGCCCGGCTACCCCGCCGCGGCTCTGGGGGCTCACGCCGCGCACGTCACGTCGTACGCCGGCTCCCCCTTCAACTCCACCCGGGACTTTCTCTTCCGCAGCCGCGGCTTCGGGGAGTCCTCCCCGGCCGGGGGCCAGCACGCTCTCTTCGGCCCCGCGGCGGGATCCCTCCATCACTCCCACACGGACACCCAGGGCCACATCCTCTTCCCGGGGATCCACGACCAGCACGCCTCCCACGGATCCCCCAACGTCCTGAACGGCCAGATGAGGCTCGGACTACCGGGAGAGGTCTTCGGACGCTCCGAGCAGTACCACCAGGTGTCCAGCCCCAGGACCGACCCGTACTCGGCCGCGCAGCTGCACAGCCAGTACGGCTCCATGAATATGAACATGGGCATGAACATGGCAGCCCACCACCACCACCCGGGCGCCTTCTTCCGCTACATGCGGCAGCAGTGCATCAAGCAGGAGCTCATCTGCAAGTGGATCGACCCCGAGCAGCTGAGCAGCCCCAAGAAGTGCTGCAACAAAACTTTCAGCACCATGCACGAGCTGGTCACGCACGTCTCCGTGGAGCACGTCGGCGGGCCCGAGCAGACCAACCACGTCTGCTTCTGGGAGGACTGCTCCCGGGAGAGCAAGCCGTTCAAGGCAAAGTACAAACTGGTCAACCACATCCGCGTGCACACGGGGGAGAAGCCCTTCCCGTGCCCGTTCCCCGGCTGCGGGAAGGTCTTCGCGCGCTCGGAAAACCTGAAGATACACAAGAGGACGCATACAGGTAATGCTGAAAGAATTTACTACGATGAACTAATGCCACGTTAAGGTAGCGTGATTGTATTTACTTGGCGTGCGTGTGCACTCCCTCTGCCTTCGTGGCCGTGAATCGCTCAGATAAACTCGCAATAAGATCTGATTAACAGGAGGTATTTTTGGCCGCTAAAGCAGATAGTATTTGTAGGAACAAAGTAGATTTAGGATCTCATCCAAGCGTCGAGAGAACTGGTGATAATTCACTGCTTAGTTTCACGGCTTTATTTGGACACTTTTATTTTTTTAATCAAAAGAAAATGCGCACAGTCGAAGCGTTTGTGCCAAAAAGCGCCGTAAAAATAAAAAAAACATGTAACCGGACGCGTCGTGGTTTTATTGTTGTGGGTAAAGTTTGGAAATGGGTCAAAGGGGACGGTTGGAGGCGCTTCGCGTGCGTAGTGGAGCAGCCAGGCTCGTAGTAAAAACCGAATCAGCACGCCGCGCATCCGGAGAAACGCGCGTTCTCCCTCCGGTTCCTCCGGGCTGGGCCTAAACCTTTGAGAATCGGTTATTGGGCCGAGTCCCATTCGTTTGTGAGTATTTATTTTTTCACGGCCGGACTCTTAGCTCCAGTAACACGAAGGAGGAATGCCTTTTGTTTTTCTCCTGCTCCCTTTTGATGCGTGCGAAGGTGCCAGACAGGGCCATTATCGGGCTTTTCACATTTGGACTTATTTTTTTGTTCCTGGGAAATACATTGTGCTGCCGAGCCATGAAATTGATCATGTGCTAATTAGATTTTTATTGTCTTCCAGTAAATGGCGTGCCTTCTGTATGGGCCTGCTGAGGACGGCCTATAGTCGGCTTCCCACCCCCTTCCAAATCACTATGCGCATTATTTAGGCTAAATAAGACGTACCTACTCACCCCCCCAACCCCCCTGCTCTTTTTAAAAGGAGCTTTAAACTTTGAATATCACTGCTTAGCTGATGTTATGAGTCGTTGAGGGAGCGCATCCATGAAACTTTTGCATTTGAATGTTTTTGTTTTTTTTCTGAGAAAGCCCCTTGTTGTTGCACGCTCAGCCCGGGGTGCTCCCATTAAAAAATAAAAGAAAAAATCTCTGACAATGCCTGACTGTTTCTTTTTTTTCCTTCTGCAGGAGAGAAACCGTTCCAGTGCGAGTTCGAGGGCTGCGACAGAAGATTTGCAAACAGCAGCGACCGAAAGAAACACATGCACGTGCACACGTCAGACAAACCCTATCTCTGCAAAATGTGCGACAAGTCCTACACGCATCCCAGCTCCCTACGAAAACACATGAAGGTAAATGCCTTGTTTTTCCTCTGCTATTTGGAATGATGTTACATCACTTAGAGGGTTCATCCCCCCCCTTCATACTCACACACACAGACACACACACACACAGATTTAGTTCAATACTCTCTGCTGTTTCCATGCACTTATTTTTCTTTTTCTTTCTCTCTTTTAATTGTATTGTTTATCATTATCAGGTTCACGAATCCACCCCATCAGCATCAGACTCTTCGCCGGCTGCCAGCTCCGGGTATGAGTCCTCCACCCCTCCGGGCCTGGTGTCCCCCACCACCGAAACCCAGAGCAACACCACCCTGTCCCCGGCCTCCGCCGTGCACAACCCCACCAGCCACAGCGGCCTGTCCTCCAATTTCAGTGAGTGGTACGTGTAGGACTGAGTTGCAAAACCAAGCCACACACACTCACTTTCGCAGGAGGTTCGGGGACACGTGCACGACAGAGGCACACAAACATTTATTTTTTATTCCATTATTTCCCCCGATTCACCACAGAAGAAGATGATTACCAACAGAGGAAGATATGTATAATAATCGAGGTGTATTTCATATTGTAAATAACGACTTCAAACAGAAGCCCACTTTCCAATTGGTTGTGATAGTTTGTCAGTCTTTGGTGTATAGATGTTCCTTCAATGGTAGCTATTTCTCTAACTGGACTTTTAGTGCACATATTACCACGGAAATTGTACTATAATGTTGAATATTGTGATCCTGAGGCAAATTGATTGTACTATACTAAACATCTATAAACTGGAAAGAGTGCCAAAGTTAACCTTTAACTCAAACAGACCACAATATTATGCTTGTGAATGTATATTTTAGTTTGCTGGGCTTAACTTGTGATGTTTTGTGCTTTGCAAGTTTGAATTGTGAAATACTATCTGGAAAGATTGTGAGGACAATAAACGTTGTGCCGTTCGATTTTATTTTATTTTCTTTCCTGTAACTACACCCTTTTGTAAATATCAGCTGCCATATTTATCCATTTGTAATTAAATTATGGTATTTACTTGCTACAGATGAAACAGTATTTATAAAGAATGTTTCTTTACTATAAATATGTACAATGACGAGCTAAACATGGGCAGTTGTTTCGTTATGTGCTTTTGTTCAAAGTTTTAAGAGGTGTTTTCTCCCTAATTGTGATAAGAATTTTACTGCATACAAATATAATAAAAGGTGTTGCAAGTGCTAAATTCTCTTTGCTCTGTCATCCTTTTTTAATTGCTGGCTGATGGTGCAGTTTAGAGAGATCCATCTTGTTTGGCATTTAGGGTTTTTTTTGTTTTGGATTTGATGAGGGGAGTTGTAGAAAAATCCACACGTCTCTGCTTGTCTTTGGGTTAAAGAACATTTTCAGAGTGTTTGGCTTCAAGCTTTTGCTGAGCATGCTGACAGGCCCTGAACATATGTGGTTGTTGTGGTGCACTGTCTGAAGGAATAAAAAAAATAATCTATATACAGTTACTTAAAGGGTAACTGGTAATATTTCTTTTTTATAAGAATCAGTTAATATTTTTTTAATTTGAATAAAACTATCTCATCCATCTGAACAGTCTAATCTTAGCACATTCAGAACATGTTGTGGATGATGGGCAGTTCTATGTAGTGAAAAAAGCAAGGCGATTTTCTTCAATTCCTGCCTCAGATATTTGGATTCATTTAGAAAAACGCAACTTTTCCAAGTGGAATCACCACACCGTGCACACACCCAGTCGTGAACTTGAACTTGACGGCTTGGTCTTGTTGCCTAGGAGAGCATCTCCACGCTCCTGTTATGGGGAGATGACCATATGGCCCCGTGGTCTTATTATTAATTCAGCTGGCTTTTTTAAAAAACCGCTCCGGGCGCGTTTGAAATTTGACAGTGCGCGATGCTGGTTTGACTCAAGATAATTGTCTGCAACGGAAAACGGGCTCTGGAAATGACTAGCACTGAGAAGTGCGAGATGAAGACTGTATACCTGCCTTTTTTCGAACGAGAAGAGGAAAGAAATAATTGTTGGCCGGCTCGGTGCGTTATTTGTTGTTGTTTTTTTTTTGCTCTGCTCATTGCGCATGCTTCAGTGTGAGTAAGTGGCTGTCATTATAGCTACATGAGTCGTGCTTCATGGATGTTGAGCATGGCACGTAGAGGGACTTGTTATCCGTGGCAGGGCCGGTTCTCCTGCAGCAGCAAGTGGCTCCCATTTTCGCGTTGTCTCTTGTTGTACAAGACTCTCACATTACTTGGCTCGGAGTGATGTTAATAAAAAAAAATAGAAAAAGAGAAGAAAAGAAAAATAAAGGTTGGTGGGATCCCCTGGGAAGCTGTACAGTTTACAACAAGTCGAAGATATTAACTAAAATCTATTAGAACCCATAAGAACATTATCCACTCTGCTTCATCCTGTATTATCCTACATATAATTTAAATTAAATTCCAATACAATAGAGCAAACAATTTTTTCTATTTGCTTTTGATTTTTTCCTTTCTAATAGAAATGCACACTAAGGTAGTTCTGTCAGTCCCAAGAGTGGAATTGAAAGTTATCCCTTGATATGTAGATACTTTATAGGACTTGAAGTCTCCTTTCATGGTACCTTTAGTGGCTGGACCGGTGACCTCCTAGGTTGAGGAAGATCTGACCAGTGGAGAGTGGGAAAGGTCAGCTCCACACAGTGCATCGATGTCGGTTCCTGTTCGGCCCCCGCTGTGCTGATATTGATCCACAGAGGAGGAAGCGGATTTTCTTCCTCCTTCTGGCCGCTCTTTTGTACATTGTTGCATGTACTGTAAGGATGCTGTACAGTATAAACAAACAGCCAGCTTACCTTGACCGGCCTGGGGCATATAAATGACACAGCCTAGTTCTATTTGGACTCGGTTCAAAGTTTTGTTCTTTGAGCTGGTGTGGTAAAATGGCGTAAATGTGCTTTTTATTTAGAAAAGTTATAGTTTCAAAGCTTGTTTATGTCATTCCACTGTGACAAAAAACTAACAAAAACAAGAACAAGATTTTTTAATTACACACGTTTAATGAAATCTTAATTGTTAAACACTATTTGTTTAACAGAGAGAGACAGAACGGATGGGTTCAATAAAAACTTCTCAGGAGAAGACGCACATGGGAATTTATCCGAATTTGCCACCTTGCGTCAAAACGCGCACTTGATGCGTTTTCCGTGCGCTGGATGCGCGTGAAAGGGAATAAGCAGGCGGGTTGGGCTGTCACAGGTCGTATTTTAGGGACACGTCTCTCATCAGCACCAGCTGACAGGGGTAAGGAGTCGAAATTTGGGAAACATCATCGTTGAAATGTAGCTTATTGCCGCTGAATGCAGGAGCCAAATCGGACTCTTAATTAGAGTTTGGTTGAAAATTGTGTGGCTACAAACGGGTGTGGGACCGTTGGCCTCAGGAGAATTAAATCGAGTCATTGCGTCCAAAGTGATGCTCAAGGCTGTGTGTGTGTGCGTGTGTGCGTGTGTGTGTGTGTGCGTTTTCGAGTGCACTTCTTGGATTGCAACACGTGTGTCATATCAGAAGTGTCAGTCATCCGGAGTTAATACCAACTATTCTTTTTTTTTTCATTCACCGTGGACATTTAATTGTGATTCCTCTGTAAAGGTTTAATGTTTTGGGCTAATTTGTTTCGTTGGGATGGATGGAAAAATAAAAAACCAAATCACCAGATCCAGTCTCTCATAAATAATCTGAAATGTCAGGTTTCTCTAGTTTGTCAGTTCGTTTGTAAAGAAATACAGTCAACCACGTGAAGTTCAGTTATTTGAAACATTTCGTTTGTTATATATCTATATTTGAATGTGGACACACACACACAGATTTACGCTCACCTCTTTCTTCTTTTTCTTGTACTGCACTGCCACCTCCACTTAAAAACAAACCTGTTTTCTCTGGAGATATGGAATGTGAAAATGCGCGTGATGAAGGTCACGTGCGACCCACGACAGTGACCGGCTCTCCGTGGGTTGTCCAGACATATGCACCACTGACCACCCCTTGATCAAAAGGCAGCTTTATGCGGTATTTTTTCTTTTTTTTTTAATACGAGGAGAAACAGTTATTGCATAAACAGATGAATAAATAAATAAATTAATACGAAATGAACGACCTGAGATCCACTCAAAAATCACACGGCAAACAAACTGAAATATATTAAACACATTTTAAGTGCAAAACGCACTTATATTTGTCCAGGCAGTGGCGCTTCTTTGCATGATCAGCATCACCACCAGCATCATCATCATCATCACCATCATTATCATCATCAACACATTAAAACGACTCCAAAGAAAGTGCATGGAGTTTTCACAATATAAACACCCTTCGTGTTACATTTTTCCTGCCTTTCATGGACTTTGTTCGTTTAAACCTGATGAAATTGATCCAAAAGTTTAAGAAAGTGTACTTTTTTGAGTTTGTTTTTAGGCCCTGTCTCAATATCTGTTGCCCGCTTTGCAAATTAGACTGAGCTGTGCAAAACTTACAATTAAACTTACTAATAAGCTACTAAAAAAGAAACATAAAAAAGAAAACAAAAGAAAGAAAAAGAAAATAAATAAATCTACCTCCACATACCTTACATTCCTGTATTTTAAACCATATCACCTCCACAATGTTCAACCCCCCCGCCCCCGTCAGCAGAAAGATAACACAGACTCTATCAACAGCTTGTCGGTATGCATGTTTTCTAAGAAAACTTTTAAAACAAACGCCACATCCTTTAATTGAATTGGACCTGCTCTGATGACAGGAACGAGCCTGTGGGCCTGTGCGCGCGCGCGGTGGCTGAGCGCGCGCCCCTTAAAAAAAAGTGGGCGTTCTTGCTCGAAAGATAATCTACCTGTGTCCTAAACATCTCATCGCAACACTCTGCAACGAGATAAGCAAAAGAGAGAGAGAGACAGAAGATTGTGGAATGTTTTATTCATTAGTGTAAAAATGAATGGTGTGACTTCCAGATTACAGTGACAGATATTTTCATGTGTGAATATCAAATCAGTGGGAAAAAAGAGTGTAAAAGTAGCTTATAAGGAGGTCTTCATGGAGGTACAGTTTATGGGGAATGTGTCAGATGATTATGCAAAGTTTAATGTACTCAAGTAATATAAGAGGAACATTTATTTTATGGGAAATGTGGAAAAATGTCATTTTTCTTTCTTTCTTTCTTTCTTTCTTTCTTTCTTTCTTTCTTTCTTTCTTTCTTTCTTTCTTTCTTTCTTTCTTTCTTTCTTTCTTTCTTTCTTTCTTT